GACGTACATGGCCATCAACGACCGCGTGCGCGCCGCCTGCAAGGAAGAGGCGCAAGCGGCCGCCGCTGCACGCAGCGCCCCTCTCTCCGCCACTGCTGCTGCCGCCGGTTCTGCCGGTTCGTCCGCTGCTGCAGCCCCTCCGTCCCCTGCTCCCACCTCCGCCTCCCCTGCAGCACCCGCCCCCCCTGTCTCCTCCGCCATCCCCACGTCCTCCCTCCCGTCCCGGTGCCGAACGCTCATCTTTGACTCGGGGCAGGACGGGTATGGCGACACGGTGTTCGGGATGGCGTCCACGTTCGCCGTGGCGCTTCTGGACGAGCGAGCCTTCCTCATGCGCCAGGAATGGCTGCCGTACGCCTTCGAACCCGCCACCTTCGACTGGCGCGTCACCGACGACATCCCCCTCTCAAAGTACCCGCCGCAGATAACAGACGAGAATAATCCACCCAACGTGACCTTTGCGCGGCTGATTCTGCATAACAGAAACATCTCAGAGCCCGAGGCGTTGTTTGCGAAGCTGCAAGGGATAGCGCACATAGGCGTGGTGTGGAACCGCGGGATTCTGTTCAATCTGCTGACGAAGGGGAGGGGCCCGTGGGCGGATCGGTTCAGAGGCATCGGGCTGACCCCGCCGTACGCCTTCGCCTGCGTCATGCGCCTCCTGCTGCGGTGGGTTCCTCCAGTGGGGGGTTGGTGGGGGGTTGGTGGGGGGAAGAGAGCAGGGAAGGGGGGGAGTGAGAGGGAGGAAGTAGGAAGGACTAATAGAGAGCAGGATGGAGCAGGGTTTTGCAGTGGTGGATTCGCAGGGCTTCTCTGGAAGGAGGTGGTGGGATGTGGGGGGTTGTTTGGGAGAGGGGGATGGGGAGGAGAAGAGGGTATGGGGAGGAGTAGAGGGTATGGGGAGGAGAAGAGGGTATGGGGAGGAGAAGAGGGTATGGGGAGGAGAAGAGGGTATGGGGAGGAGTAGAGGGTATGGGGAGGAGTAGAGGGTATGGGGAGGAGTAGAGGGTATGGGGAGGAGTAGAGGGTATGGGGAGGAGTAGAGGGTATGGGGAGGAGAAGAGGGTATGGGGAGGAGAAGAGGGTATGGGGAGGAGTAGAGGGTATGGGGAGGAGTAGAGGGTATGGGGAGGAGTAGAGGGTATGGGGAGGAGTAGAGGGTATGGGTGGGGAGGAGAAAGGTGGAGAAAGTGGGCTTTCAGGCTGGCAGGCGGCACTAGCCTTGTTTTCTGAGCTTTCAGTGCCTGCTCTCATTCTCACTCTCATGCCCCCCTTGCTCTTCCTGCCATGCTCTGGCACGTATAGATCTCGTTTTGCCCTAATCCCCCCCATCCCGCTCTCCTCTTCTCTTTTTGGCCCCCTCTTTTCCCCTCCCTCACTCCTCTTCCTCTCTGACCCCCTCTCTTCCCCTCCCGCTTTTCCCCACTTTTAGCCACACCTCAGCCCCAAGCTGGAGGTGCTGCGTCTAGCAGAGGGCCTAGCGGAGCTCGTGCACACGCCGCAGGGCATGAGCATAGGCATTCACACGCGCCTGGCAGACCATATCGCGTGGGAGGACCCTAGGAGGCTGGGTGTTCCCAAGGTGCTCAACTCGTCTCATGTGGAGGACCTCTATGCAAGGAATATAGCGGCGCTTGAGTGCGCACAGGTGAGAAGAGGGGTGAGGGGAAGAGCAAGCAACGGGCGTGAGAGGGTAGTGGTATTGTTGGCAGTTCCTGTTGCTTTTTGGTGAAATTGACTGGTCTGGTCTGGAGTAGGATGTGGCAACGGGATGGGATGAGGCACCAGAGCCAGATGGGTGCAACAGAGGCAGGCTACTGAATGTGATGAAAGTGGCTGCGCACCTGAGGTACATGCTAAGTTTGATGCCGTTTTTTTGCCTTTCCTTTTTCGCCAGCCCTTGTCTGAACTGTCATTGTCTGCGTGTCTGCACTGTGCTGCGTGCTCTGTGCTGCGTGCTCTGTGCTGGGTGCTTTGTGCTGCCTGCTCTGTGCTGCGTGCACTGTGCTGCGTGCACTGTGCTGCGTGCACTGTGCTGCGTGCTCTGTGCTGCGTGCACTGTGCTGCGTGCTCTGTGCTGCCTGCTCTGTGCTGCCTGCTCTGTGCTGCCTGCTCTGTGCTGCGTGCTCTGTGCTGCCTGCTCTGTGCTGCCTTACTTACTGCCTGCTGCCTTCCATACTGCGTGTTGCCATCAGGAGTTGGAGCGGTGGTGGAGTCCATCCTCTCTCACAATCAGGTGGTTCTTCATCTGCAACTCCGCTCAGCTCAAGATAGCCGTGCGCGATAAATTCCCCGACAAGGTACTCCTATTCCTTTTTGAAGCTCCGCATTGTGCTGTTGATATTTGCTTCCCTCTTCACACACACCTCTGATCCCTCTTGTCCTAAGAAGCCCTCACTTCCTTCTCTTTGTGCTCAGGCCCATGTTTCTCTCAGGCAAGAAGCCACCAGAAGCCTGTCCCTAATTTCTGCAGTCGATCATCACTCACGTGCCTCCCTCTCCCCACTCCCCCTCCCACACCCCCCCCCCCCCCCCTTCTTCCCCCCAGGCGGTGATCACGAGTTTTGTCCCGCGGCACGTGGCGATCAGCAAGGACCCCAACTCCAGCACGCATGCGGCGGACCCGGTGTGGTACCAGGAGACGGTGGCGGAGTGGCTGCTGCTGGCGTCCACGGACCTGCTGGTCATCCCCGAGTCGGGCTTCTCGCGCTCCGCTGTCATGTACTCCATGCGCCCGGGGGCCGTCTTCATGCCGCACAAGTGCACGCCCGATGCGCCCGTGCCGCTCTCTGATCTCGCTACTGCTGGCTGTGGGGTGTGATTGATTGATGCATTGAAAATGGTAACAGGTGGAACTAGTTGTTGACTTTCATATATATATATTAGTATATAGCTACGGTACTGTAGCCTAGGTAGGATCAGTTCTTAGAGAGTACCCTGTACTCCTGTACTCTAATCCCTCTAGTCACCTTTTCTCTCGACATGGTACCCTAGCTAGGTCTCGCTCCTAGTCGTCACGTTTCCGCCCTAGGCGCTAATCCACTCCCCTCCCACCCTAGCTTACCTCCTTAGGCCTAGTTAGGCTGTAGTCTGTCGCGCTAGTCTCCGCCCTAACCTAAGCTCTCGTCATAGGCTACTGCCCTACTGTTGCAGTGCCCAAATTTTGCCGCTAGCCTGCCTGCCAGCCAGCGCCAGCTCGCTGCCGCTAGCAGCGTGCTGGTCGCTGCCAGTTCGCTGCCAGCTAGCCACCGCCAGCAGCTCGCTCGCTGCTCGCCGCTCGCCGCCGCCAACCTGCCGCCAGCTCATTCGCTGCCAGCTCGCCGTCAGCGGCCGCCCACCGCTCGCTCGTTGCTGCTAGCTCGCCACCAGCTTACCACCGCCAGCTCGCCGCCAGCCCGCTACTGCCAGCTCGCCGCCGCCAGCTCGCCGCCAGCTCGCTGCCGCTAGCCGCCAGCTCGCTCGACAGCTCGCCAATTCGCCCACTTGCCAGCCTGCTACTTGTCCCCGTCCTCCGTCGCCCTCGGCCGCCTCCTCCTTCAGTGCATCTTCCTCGACATGGCCTCCTTCCCCATGCTCGCCAATCTCGTCGCTCATCTCTGCCACCCTGAGGTACGCTACAGGACTGCCTACGCCAAGTTGCAGCAGCAGCAGCAAAGGCACCAACCGCGGTTGGGTCCTGAGAGCGTTGGGCACAGTGGAGGCCCTGGAGGTTGGCCCCGAGGCAGTCACTGCCCTGGGTCTCGCGCGGTTTTTCTGGAGGCCCGAGAGCCTGGGGGACTGGGGGTCTAGGTCCCACTGCTGTGTGTTGTCTAGGAGCGTCCACTACGTGTCGACTAGGCTCTCCCCTTGCCCTTACTACGGCGACCCTCTCCTTCACACTGGACTCTGACGCTTCCCACTACTTCTTCCAAGACCGCACTGCATTCACACCACTTCCTGCACCGATACCAGTCTCCCCTAGCTGACTCGCCTGCCACAGTAGTCGCTCGCAGTACCACCGCTCTCCCTTGTCCGGCTGTCCCATCTGGCTCCCTTACCGGCTTGCATATTCCCACGTTTTCCAGGAACTTGGTCAGTGTCGGTTATATCCAGGACCTCGACGTCAACACTACGTTCCCTGGTTGTGAGAGGTATGCAGTGTGTACGGACGCAGCCACGGGCGTTCGTCTTGCCACCTTTGATCACGACCATGCGTCTGGTCTCTTCACACTGCACACAGAGTCCCCCCAGGTAGCCGTGTCCACCCAGGTTGCCGCATCCTGCTCCTGTCACTCCCTCAACCACCCGGCACTCCTATCGCACCACCGCTTAGATCACCCTACTCTCCCAGCATCACATGGCACCCTGCAGTCTAGTCACTGGTCTTCCCGCGTCCTTCCTCGCTCTCCCCCCCTCACTTTCGCCCGCGCGCACCTCGTGCATCAAGGGCCAGAAGCGCGCCACCTCCGCGCGACTTCACACGGTTCACCACACGGTAGCCCCTGCTCCTCTCCCTCCCCGTCCTGCCCCGTTTGGTGTGCCTCACTTCACTCCCCTCCCGTCGGTTGTCCCAGTCGAGGAGTCGGCTGACTCTGGTGGCCGTGCGGTGCTGTTCTCACCGTCAGTCTCCACCCCGGTGTCTCCTCCTCCACCGTCGCAGCAGCCCCTGCCGTCATCGCCGCAGCGGCAGCTGCAATTGCCGCCGCCGCAGCAGTAGCCGTCGCAGGGGTCTGCGAGCTCTGGGGGTGCGGGCGTTGACGAGGGTGCTCGTCCTGGGGTTCATGTCGTGGCTTCTCCCGGTGGTCCTAGGGGTGGCATCGGTGCTGGAGAGGGTTCTCGTTCTGGGGGTGCTAGTCCTAGGGTTACTGTCTTGGATCGTCCTGGCAGTCCTGGGGGTGGCGCAGGTGTTGGAGAGGGTTCTTGCTTTGGGGGTGTTGGCGTGGAGTGTCCTGGAGGTAGCCGTGGTGCCGCTGGAGGTTCGAGTGTCGGCGTGGAGCAGCAACAGCAGCTGTAGTCACCGCGGGTTTCCGCCCTTCGCCTTCTCGGCCTTCCCTCCCCTGACCACCCGACTGTGCCTCCCTTGCCGCCGCCTCCCCTACCTGTCTACGACCCTGTGTTTCCTCCGCCAGACTCGTCTCCGGCTCGTTTCCCCCCTCGTTCTCCTCCTGTGTCTCCTGACCCGACGCCTCTGTCCCACTTCTGGTCTCGCCGTCCCTCTCATGCTCGTCCTGTCTCTCCTATTCAGTGCTCTCACCCTATTTTTCTCCGTTCCCAAGCGTCTCGTTCTCCCCTCCTCCCGTCGCCTACTCCATCGTCGCTTGTTGTCGCTCCGCCTCCCCTGTCTCACTTCCTTCGTGCCACTAGGTCTTGTTCCTCGAGTCCTTGCCTCCCTCGTTACCGACCCGTCTATTCCTCTCTCAAGTCTTGACACTCTTGTCGCTGCTGTCGCTGACTTTGCCTCTACCCGCAGCCTTGACTACACCACCGCTCTTGCCCGTCCTCCGTCCGTCGGGGGTGCTACTGCCCTTGGCAGTGGCGTCATGGAGGACTGGCGGTACGCGCTTTCTTTCCTGTCCAAGGCTGCTCCTCATCTCTGCTCCATGCGCCTAGTCCCTGAGGGTGACCCAGATGCCCTTGACAACCCGACCCCTCGCATTTACGCTCAGGCGACCTCGGGACCCTGGGCCTCTCAGTGGATAGCTGCCATGGACGCGGAGATGGCATCTTGGAGATCCATCGGCACCTATGTCGACGCAGTTCCCCCACCTGGGGTGAACGTAGTCGATGGCCGATGGCTCTTAAAGGTGAAGCGCCCTCCCAGAGAGTCGCCTCTATTCATGGCACACTACGTGGCTAGTGGCTTCAGTCAGCGTGAGGGTGTTGACTTCTTTCAGACCTTCGCCCCGACCCTGAAGATGACTACTCTTCGGGCGCTGCTACACGTAGCAGCATAGCGGCAGCACTCCCTCGACTTCTCCACAACGTTTCTTCAAGGCAGTCTGCACGAGCAGGTCTACCTGCATCGTCTGCTCGGCTTTACCGGCACCTTCACCCCTGGTACCGAGTGGCTCCTCCGGCGCCCGGTTTACGGCGTGCGGCAGGCACCCCGCAAGTGGCACCACACGCTGCGTGCTACGTTAGCTGACGTGCAGTTCTTCCCATCGTTTACAGACCCCTCGCTCTTCGTTCGTGCTGGCCAGACCTATCACAGGATCGAATGTCCCGAGGAAAGGTTTGCTCAATGTTGCACTATCAATCAGTACAAGGTGCTTTTATACTTCCAGAGTACATAAGGTAACCAGGTTTATCCTATCCAAAGGGAATAGACCCTTCTAGAAATAGAATCACCATGCGTATAGCCACGCGAGGCTATTGGCTTTAAGGGATTACGGTAGGATTACGCTAGATATAGCGCGCCAGTACATCCCGAGCCTGGTCGGTGATATAATTATAATAACAGGATAAACCAAAGGATAATGGAAAATGAGGAATAGGAAACCAAGTGAGATGAGATAAAGACCAAATGAATCAGGATAAAAAGAGGAATGAAAGAGAAAGGAAATATGGAAAAGGGAAATTGGTGTAACGGGGTCGTACTCTCACAAGACCCGGTTCTACATTCCTGTGTACGTAGACGACCTGGTCTTCACTACTGCAGACAGAGACACACTGGCCTCCATGAAGGCTGAGCTGCTGAAGAGACACACCTGCACTTACCTAGGATCTCCAGGGATAGAGCAGCGCGCACCATCACTCTCACACAGTCACACTTAGTGTGCCAGGTCCTTCAGAGGTTCGGTCTTCAGTTCTCCTCCGCACAGCCCACACCTTTGCCCGTAGACCACAAGCTCTCGGCTCCAGTCCCTGAGGAGTCTGTAGATTCTAGTAGTCCTTATGCAGAGCTGGTGGGTTGCCTCATGTACCTGATGACTTGCACTCGTCCATATCTCGCATACCCTCTCAGCATCCTGGCTCGCTTTGTGGTGACAAGCAGAAGCTGACCACAGCACTGGTCACCCGCTAAGAGGGTTTTGTGTTATCTAGCAAGTACATCGTGCATGGGGCTAGTGCTAGGAGGACGCAAACCAGTGGTCCTTACAGGGCGCACAGACGCTTCGTGGGCGGACGACGCTGAGACGCTCAGGTCCTCCTATGGCTACTGCTTTACCCTTAGTGGAGGTGCCATCTCGTGGAGGTCCACACGTTCGTCGTCTGTTGCCCAGTCTAGCTGTGGGGCTGAGATTTACGCTGGTGCCAAAGCGGCACAGGAGCTACGCTGGCTGACTTTCTTGCTCACAGACTTAGGTGCCCCGGTCCTGTACGGTGACAACAGGGCCATGATCCTCCTGTGTCAGGAGCCTTGAATGGAGGGCAGAGCGAAGCACATCCAACTGCGGTACTTCAACCTGCGCGAGCTACAGCAGCGCCGCCAGGCCCGCGTAGTACACTTGGCCTCCGGTGCCAACACAATTGATATCTTTACAAAGGCGCTTGCGCCTAAAGATCATCAGCGACACTGTGTACAGGTTGGCCTAGTTCCTGCAGCTTCTCATATTCTAGGACCTTGATTGTGTACTACTCATTATATTTTCTTGACTGGCCTTGTGGCTCTAGTTCCAGTGGCTGGACTAGTAGTGCCGCCCTGGGTTACTCTTGTTTCCTTTGTACTCTTGCTGAGTGGTCTTCAGACCGTTGTCTCAGAGGTTGGACTAGTAGTGTCACCATGAGCTGCGTGTCTTGTGCTAATCATTGCCCCTTGTCTAGCCTAGGGGGTGTGTGAACATATAATTGTATATGTTATAGGCTAGACAGGTGCATGCTTATAGAGATTACAATACCCTAGGTTATATCCCCTCGTATCCCCTCATCATACTCCTCTGAGACCGCTTCGCTCCTACATCGCCCGGAGAGAGAGAAATAGAAGCCATTAAGCGCACAAATCTCGTATCAAAGTGAAATGCTTGTTTACACCGTTGAGCTGCCAT